GGTGTGAGTTCCTGTGGGGTGGGGGTTCGGTGGGAGTGACGGTGTGAGTTCCTGTGGGGTGGGGGTTCCGTGGGAGTGACGGTGTGAGTTCCTGTGGGGTGGGGTGGGGGTTCGGTGGGAGTGACGGTGTGAGTTCCTGTGGGGTGGGGGTTTGGTGGGAGTGACGGTGTGAGTTCCTGTGGGGTGGGGTTCGGTGGGAGTGATGGTGTGAGTTCCTGTGGGGTGGGGGTTTGGTGGGAGTGACGGTGTGAGTTCCTGTGGGGTGGGGGCTCCATGGGGAGCGGCGGTGTGAGTTACTCTGAGGTGGGGGCTCTTTGGGAGTGGCGTGGGGCGTGGCGGTGTGAGTTCCTGTGAGGTGAGGACTCCGCGGATGTGACCCGCCTCTGCCTTCACGCCTCCCTCTCCACCTGCCAGCGCGGCTGCTGGGGTCTGCTCTGGCCTCTGTCTCCAGTGATGCCGTCTCCCACCCACTCTTGGGGCCAGGCAGTCATGCATGGCTCTTACGCCTGCCGTTGGTGGTGGGGAACGGGGCTGCCCTGCACAGCTGCCACCCCCAGGCCGAGGCCGTCTTCTCTGTGACTGCACCCCGGTGTTCAGCCAGTGGGGCTGGGATTTCTGGGAATTTGGGACTGGGGAAGGAGAGAGAGACAGGGCATGGCCTAGGCTGGAGCTGCACTGCTGCACCGTGCACCCATCCACGCAGGGTGGCCCTTCCTCCACCTTGGGCTGGGGGCTAAGGGGGAGCAGGTGGTGACATGGAGGCTGCCACAGCCTGGGAACCAAGGCTCCTGCACCCACTCTGTTCTCACCTCTGTAAGCCAGATGGTGTCTGAGACGGGTCTCCATCAGTTAGAGGTTTATCTTGCCAAGGTTGAGGGTGCACCCAGGAAAAAGGACCACAAAGCCACAGGAAACATCTGCTTTTTCCAAAGCGGGTTTGGGGGCCAGGCGCGGGGGCTCACGCCTGTCATCCCAGCACTGTGGGAGGCCCAGGCAGGTGAATCACTTGACGTCAGGAGTTCAGAACCAGCCTGGCCAACATGGTGAAACCCCATCTCTACTAAAAATAAAAAAAAATAAAAAATAAAAAATTAGCCGGGTGTAGTGGCGGCGCCTGTAATCTTAGCTACTCAGGAGGCTGAGGCAGGAGAATCGCTTGAACCTGGGAGGCAGAGGTTGCAGTGAGCTGAGATCATACCACTGCCCTCCAGCCTGGGCGACGGAGCGAGACTCTGTCTCAAAAACAAAAACAAAAAAAAAACAAGAACAAAAAAAACCCAAAGAGGGTTTGGAGACTCCTATATTTAAAGGGAAAGAGCGGGCAGGAGGGGAACATGGGAAGGAAAGAAAAGGGAGGGCGGATAAAAGAGGCAAGGTAGCCTTCCTTTGATGCTCTGATCGGCAGTCACCAGATGCACATTTTGAAATGTGGAAGGTGAGGGTAAAGGAGTGAATTACAGAGCCCCACGCTCAGCAACCCTGCGTTTCCAGAGAAGATAGAACTGCCACAGGGAACAGGAAGCCGGCAGGTTCACATTCGTCTCCCGTGAGTGGAGGGTGATGTTAGCTCTGTCCTTTGTCCCATAGCTGGAAGATAAGCTGGGGGATCACATTGTCTGGGTGGGATCCAGCAGAACTGTTTCAGAGCCAAGATCTCGGGGCCCACAGGGAATTTCTGTGTAAGCGCATCGTGGGGGGCCGGGCTCCTTCATCTTCGTAGCTGTCCATTCAGGAAGAAAATGGGAGGCAGGTGTGTGTGACTCGGCTGCCGGCTTGACTTTTCTCTTTGGCTTGGTGAGTTTTAGGGCCTGAAATTTTGTTTTCTTTTCACACCTCCAAGAGGCTGACTGAAGACCATGCTGCCCCCCGATCTGTCCACCACCCAGAGGATTTTCTGGGGCAGGCTCATGAGGTCGGGAGGAATGGGCCTTGTCTGGACCCGGCTTCCCCTCTACCTGGCTTCGCACAGCCACACACGTGTGCGTGGTCCCAGGACACTGTTCCCCCTGTGCACGGTGCCACCGTTTCCAGGAAGCCCGCCAGGTTGCTCCTCCTCCCTCGAGAGCCGCTGTCCTCACGCCTCTCCTGCTGTCTGTCCAGTGTTGATGACTTGCCCAGTTCTCCCCTTAGAAACCAAAGCTCCTCAGGGGCAGAGCCCACGTCTGCACTAAGGACAGGCGTGCTGGCCAGGGCTGGCCAGATGAGGGTGGAGTGTGGCCTCGACCTGGGCTCCTCCTGTTGGGACAGGGCCCCCCGCCCCGTGTGTCTGTGCCTGTGTGGCGGTGGGTCTGCCAGCACCCGTGCCTCCACCTCCCTGTCAGAGGCAGGACTCTAGCCAGTTCTGTCCAAGACCAGAGCCTGCTGGACTCGGTCCAGGCCCTGACGCATGCCCCTCTGAGCTCGGGCCCCGGCCGTGGAAAACCTTGTCATCCTCACCCTGTCTGAGACTGCTGACACACCAGGCCCGGCCGGGGCTCCTGCCAGCTGCCTGGCAGGGGACAGACGGCTCCGACACTGGTCTTTCCAGTGACACTCTTCAAATATACCCTGTTCCAGAGCCGGGCCTGAGGATTCATGGCAGCCTGGCCCCAGGGGCACCAGCGCCCAGCCCAACTCCTATTCCGTACAGGATCTGCGTGTGCCCCAACATGAGGGCCCCATGGGGATGGCTGAGAGGGGTGAGCTGTCCCTGCCTGTGCTGTCCACCCTCAGGTCCCCTGTGTCCCCTCAGTTTTCATGTCTTTTTTTTTGAGACAGAGTCTCGCTCTGTCGCCCGGGCTGGAATGCAGTGGCCGGATCTCAGCTCACTGCAAGCTCCGCCTCCCAGGTTCACGCCATTCTCCTGCCTCAGCCTCCCGAGTAGCTGGGATCTGTACAGGGGCCGCCGCCACGCCGGCTAATTTCTGTATTTTTAGTAGAGACGGGGTTCACTGTGTTAGCCAGGATGGTCTCCGATCTCCTGACCTTGTGATCCGCCCGTCTCAGCCTCCCAAAGTGCTGCGGATTACAGGCGTGAGCCACCGCGCCCCGGCCTCATGTATTTCAAAAGGCAGGCTTCACTCTGGCTACTGACACTGACTTTCCGTTCCTCGGGGTCTTTGGGAAGCTACTTGGGGCCTGGCTGGATTGAAACATAAAGAACAGAAAGTGTCCAAAATGGAGTTTCCTAGAACTTTGGGAAAACAGAGCAGGGGTTGTCAGCAGCACGCTCGCCTTCTCTCTGAA